ATTCTTGCAAATATTTTTTCAGATATTCAGGGGTGCAGTTTGCCAGCTGTGAATTTTCTGGTCGCCGCTATAATGACTGTAGGGGGGATTGGAGGGGTGTACTGCAGGTGAATCTATCACAGGAGAGTACGGCTTTGTGTTCAGCAGTTTATTCTGCCTGAAGTTCCTGCAAGATGAATATATCTCTCAGTTTTGTCGCAGCAATATTTGCTTCCATTCATTCAGGTGAGACGTGCATTTGTATTTTTTTCTAGTTAGATGCTGGATGCTGTCAGTCTGTAGTGGGGCCCCTCATTCACTCAACAGCAGGGACCAGTATCTCTAAGACAAAATATTGATCCCTGCTAAGTCTTGGTGGGACTCAGGTACTTTCGATCTCGCATTGTGCTGACGTGACTGTACCGAGCTGTGAGACTTTGACACCATTCATCTTAGCAGCGTTTCTTTTAATTACTGCTCTCCCGTGGGAGCCAGCCGAGTAGTTAAACAGAAATCAGCATTACAGCAATTATTGGCTCGCAATGACATGAATACAATCTTGTCATCTGTAATCATTGGGGGCGTCTATGCCTCGGAGAAAACAGCTTCTCCTTTCTGTTTCTCAGTGAGGGCAGGGCGGATACAGTACATGGATATTGTCGGGATCCTGGTCTGCCTCAGCAGATCAAGGTGCCTATTCAGTGCAGAATGTCACGGTCCCTATCTGATGTTCAGCATCGAGCCTTTTTGTTCAGGCTGTGTTATGGAAATAGGCATGATTCATGTTATTATAGTCTTTAGATAAGAGGCATGGAAATAACTGCAGCACCTACTGTATCCAAGCACTTACAATCCAGTGTAGACGCTGATTGTTAAGGTTGCTGTAAAGGGTGAAAACTTTAAAGCTGCTCTAATGAGGTCGCTGATACTGATAACCCCGCAGAGAATTGTTATGCAACTTCCCCTCAGCTCATCCAGCTCATTGTTTTGGTCCCACAACATTACTGTTTGGTTCACCCTAGCCATGATCTGCAGCATTTCCAGACAAGTAGGTCAAAAAAAATCTCCACTGTACACCAAACAGGAAACACAGAAAGTTAATGAATCTCTACTGAAAATATATAAAAATGAAAGAAACAGACTTCTTCCATTTTGTGACATCTCCAGAAACTTTAGGAGAGACCTATTACTCTTCTTATTTTCAGTAATATAGTATCATCTCAGGCAAAGCAATCCCATCCACCTGCTGATCAAACCTCAAAGAGCCGTAGGTCGAACTCGGTTGGTGGTTTCTATTCATCTGCAAAAATGTCACAGTCCCTAGCAAGATACTGAACACTACATTGCTGATAATTGTTATCTACTCTGCACTGCATGTGGAAAAAACAAGTTGGCAAGATGTGTAAAGGGCCATATAAGAACCAGTCCATTTACCAGAATTGGTTGTTGGACCACACTGACACCGCCTGAGCTGTTTTCAAATTGGGCAAAATCTGCAACACTCTTTGTGAGCATCATTAAATTTCTTTTTCTTCATTTACGGATTCTTGGTTGATGCTTGATTTTCTTCCTCTGCAGTTACAGAGCGATCTGGACCAGGAGTACCAGGACAAATTTCGCCGGCTACCTGTGGAAATCCAAGAGTTTGTTCAGGACAGCAGCAAGGCCAAGCTGAGCGACGACAGCATCCATGGAAACCTCGTTTCCTCGTCGACAGCAGAGAAGCTGAACCACAAGGCGTCGCAGTCAGAGGACGACACGGAGGAGGGGTCGTCGGAACGAGTCTACGAAACCCCGCTCTAGAGATTTAACCTTGACCCTTTGGGACACTGACTGGTGGACGTGGTTATGGACACAGATTCTAGGATGAGACTGCCACTTTGGTCCTAATTGTAACCAGTGGGAGGATTAGGTCAAATCTGAGCCTGAATTGGTGAGTAGCGGTCCTCTCTGCGTAGAGTGCAGTCTTGTCCAGACACCTGTTTTTCATGTAAATAATAACCTTTTGTGTATTTGTATGTTACCTGTACGTTGTCGTCTCTTTCGGTACGGCCACAGGAGGTGTTAGGAAACACTAACTATTTGCAGGAAATAACTTACTTGAACTATTGCACACAGAGAGAGTAGTTTCTTTTTATTATTTTTATTATCACGATGTTTGCAGTAGTGCTGATCAGAGAGGCGTGTCGTGCCAAGGGTTGGTATTCACTTCACAGTGGATTTTAAATGGAGTGTACTGTAAAGAAGTCATTATATATCCAGCCTTTAAAGCTTCCGTCTCTATAAGATTTAAATTCACCTTTACATATTTGCACTGAAGGCTCACTAAACCCTCTCTTACTTTAACCCAGAGGCACTGGTGGCTTGCTGGTTCTTGAGTTTGTTCTCACAGAACTAAGCCTATGCGTTGCTGCTAATTTCCTTTTTGTTTTGTTTTTTAAAATAATTTCTTTTGTGGGGTTTTTTTGTGAAATTTGGAAATATTCTTAAAAAATGATCTGCCATTCTTTCTTTGTTCTGCCTCGTATTTGTTTTGGGGTTTTTTTTAACAAGTTTGTGGACGATTCTGTCCAAAGAGGACAAGAAGGGAACGTTTATTTGTACAGTGTCTGCATGTATTTGAACAACTGTAAATGTTAACAAGTAGCTCTGTAGCAGAGATGTTTATTAATGTAAATCTATTTTCTCTGAAACATTTAAACTTAACCTGCAAAACAGTGGGCTCAGTGTGGCTTGATGCATCACTGCGGAATAAGCTGAACAGGACTAAAGTAAGTAATGACACACCCTGTCCTCTAGATGCAACGCTAGCCGGCTCCTGCTCACAGATTGCTCATTGTATTCTTTACCTTTGCCCCCTTGACTAAAACAAACCAGGACATTCAAACAGAAGAGGATCCTGTTGTAGTTTGTTGAAGCGGCCTTCCTCTTAACTGGTTCCCTTTGTACTTACAGGGAAACCTTGTGTGCACAATACACACAGAGAAGGCCCACAGAAAATACGTCCCCCTCGGGCATCGTCATTATTTTTATTATTATTTACCCACGATTGGAGTCTAAAGCGGGGAAACTGTGGGGAAATGGTTGCATTATTTTCAATCAGGTGCTCAGTTTATATCTGCAGAACACCAGCGTTAACATGAACCTATGAATAACTGGACTCCTCCCCCCTGTAACATGTGAACTGTGCTAATTCATTAAGTTTTTTTTTTTAAACTTTCTTCCGCCCAGTGCCACCATGGGTGTGCCATTTGATATCGAATCATATTTCAGCTGATTTTCCTTATAGAAAAAGAGTTGAAAGTGAAGGATTGCCTGACATGTAAGTACAAATACCTTCTTTTTTTTTTTTAAAGATGATATCGATGTGAGAGTCCTGTGCCTTTTGAATGGGTTTGCCTTGTTTGATGTTGAATGTGTGAAATGCATTATTGTTAAAATTGCCATTATATAATAATATATGAAGCTGTCTGGTATTGAATAGACCGTGTGCACTTTTTAGTACAGTACCACTACTGAGTAATGCTTGTAATGAGAAGTATTTAACATGTGACTCATAAAGGCAAGAGAGACATTTTTTGTTTTCTTTTATGTCTTGAACCACTTTATTTAACAGACTACCCCCCCCCCCCCCCCTTCTCATCAGTGTATGCACTCTGGAAATGTAAATGTACGTATGACACGAAGGTTAAAACATGAAGCTGAGAAAAAAAATCTAGTGTAAAGGGAACTTGCTTGTAATTACAATAAATGTGGCTATTATTGTACTTTGCTGGAGTGGAGTTGTGTGTCTTTTGATTTGTTGTGCTGAACTTAATATTGTGTTGGTTTGTTTTTTTATTGTTACATCTTACAGATTTCATGTCTATGTATGTAATGTGTTACAGTTACATACATTATATTAATCCTTCCTGGTTTCAGTGGTGAAACCAATCCTGAGTTGGTGTTTTGGGGGGGGATTCCCGGTAGTTACATTTTTTTCTTGAAGTGTCTTGAACCCACAGTCTGTAACTCAGCAAAGGCAAAAAAAGAACAAAAATTGTGTTGGAAACAGCTTAATGGTGTCACTGCTTTCTTTTAAAAGATGAATCAGTGTCTGGAACCCAGTTACAGAGTATGTTTGGAAGCATCTGTGACGGGTATTTGTGCACTGTAGGCTGGTGGGGTTGTCACACTCAAGGTAATGGGCAGGCAGGGGAAGCCTTGATGACCTGCTTCCTGTTATCTCCCAGGTAACAACACAGCCTGCCTATAAATAGACTGTTCACTTCCTATTAATGGCATTGTAATGAAATTGGCTTCAATTTACCTGCTTCAAAACAATAAACTCAAAATTGTATTAGAAATCTGGTATTGATTATGTCACAATTGAAATAAGAACGAATAAAGTCTTTTTCTTCTGTCCTACATGGAAAATACTTTACAAGACAGCCTTGCTCAGTGCTACTCAGAGACACCATGGTTGGTGTGGTAGGCAGTGGCCGTTATCAGGTACCTGATGCTGCAGGTTAAAAAAAATGGGCGTATCCACAGTGACACTAACCACTTGTTTTTGAACCTACCTTGAAGCCACGGCTTGATCATTATAGCTGTCGCTATTTACAATTTTGAGCAACACAAGTTGAGGAAGTGGTGGTTCTAGCTAGCTCGCCCTAAAGCGTACCCTGCTCTGTTGTCTATTTTACTTTACGTGTGGCCATAAATTGCAAAATAAACATCCCGTTGCGTTAAATAAGAATTTAAACCAGGAAGTGAGCTGATAAACACATCAGGAAAGTGTTAGCTGAGATCACAGATCAACTGAACAGTAGGGTAATTTTCCCAAACACGGCAATAAGAGCAGTTGCCACCTGCTGGCCAATTGAAATAATGCAGGTTTAAGGCAATCTTTTATGTACAGTTTATATCTAAAAGCAGTGTCTACACAACAGGACGTTTTTGGCAGTGGGGGTACCCGCAGTTTGGGAACATCTCTGAAGTAACCCTAACAGAAAACCTGCCATGGCTGGATAACAGGAGAAGTCATATAAAACTATTATGCAAAACCATGCATAGTAGGGTTGCATGCATGTAGATGTCCATAGCCATGTTTGGATCAACACCCATCTAGTTTGACTTTTCCTCTGCCTCAAAAGTCAAATGAATCTTAGGCTGCATCCATAGACCTGTGGGCAGAATTATTATTGTTTGCACTTGGATGCAACTGCAGTAATATCTAATCACTCCATTTCCTGAATGTCCAGTGGTAACACTTATTTTTTCATCTTTAGCACATTTACAAAAAAACAAAACAAAACCAAAAAACTTGTTACACATTGTGTGAGCGTTGGTGGAGTCTCCCGTGTGAGTCTGTGTACGTCTGTGCTCACTGTGTCAGTGTGCTTGTGTGGGTGACTTTTCGGCTGTCTCTATTACATTTGTACGTGCTGCCAGTGTATGTGTTTTCCACACTACATAAATACTGTGCCCTTCTTAGTCTCAGCTCCACAGCAAAATCCCCACAGGCAGCCAGAGATAAGACAAGCCTAGTCGTCCATAACAACCACTGTGACCATTCAGAGGCCTCGGTGCATGTCGGCAACTAGGAAGTGAGCTAATTAACCTCAAGTTCAGGACGGAAGGAGAGCAGCTTTTTAATAAGATTCTCTGGGTTATAAAAACAGAGACGCCCCTCCAAACTCCCAGGAATAATACCGCTCTGCGTCTGTCCATCTGCTGCGGGGACGAAGAGAAGGAGGAGGAGGTGTCCTGTAACACCAGGACAGAGAGGAGAAGACCGCAGGATGCTGGCTAAGGTACACTGAGCTCTCTCTCACTCACTCACACACAAACACACACACATACATAGTTACATAGGCACAAAAACACAAGCAGACACTGATGTGAATGTTTGAGTGAGCGAGTGAAATGCTAATCACTGACTGCCTCCACTCCTTGGCCCCCAAATAGAATCTTAGCTCTCTCCACTTTCCCTCAACTATCATAACACAACCTTAATCCCAAAGTTATGAATGTAATGTTAACACTGAACTTTGCCTTAATCTAGGCTGGATCAAATTCGGATTGTGACTCTAATATTATCCGTACCATTGTTAAACTATCAGACCATGTCCTAAAACCTAAAAATGTCCCATTTAGAGGGATGAGGAAAGACACAGTGCCCTTGGTTTGCAGGGTTTTCCTCACTATACTTCTGTCATCATTTTTGGCCCATTTAGTCTCTGAAGCTCAGAGACTGCCGACTATTTTTTCCTCTAATGATGGAGTGGCTGTAGTTGCTTTTGTACCATTTAGGAGACTGATTGTCATACAATAATTAATTTTGAAAACAGTGTCCACTTAATGGGTCCTTGGAGGCAGGAATAGGCCTCTGAAAGCTACCGAAACTGTCATGTAGCTTTCTTAACCTTAAAAATAACCTTTTTGTTATTGTCTTCGGTTACACTCTTCACATCTTTATTTGAGTCAACTTTCTTCTTACTGCTGCTTGTAAACAGAGGATTTAAATAAGAGGTGGATGGAGCTTCTGTGTTTACAGTCAGAGCTGTGTGTCTGATCATATTAAGCCCATCCCCTCTTCCTTGACATCATACACAGCAAAGCATAGAAAAAACGTTGTGAAATAAAGCATATAGAGCAGTTTGAAGCCTCAACTTTTGCCCTCCTGGGATCGCTTACATACTTACATCTAAATTCTGAGCTCATTATTTTAGACTTTGGTCATGTTTAATATGACCAGTCACCATTGCAGCACGTTATATACATATACATGATAGAAAATAAAGAACGGCATAATATGAACCCTTTTACAGAAATCCTGCATTATAAATCGGGAGGATGTTTTGACATAAGTGGGTTTGGGGATTGCAAGGTGCAGTATTTTTGGAGCTGCATTACCTCCATACTAAGCACTGCAAGTCATGACATCTCGAATAAAGCCGTCAAAGGAGTGTATCTTGTGCACACTAGCAATATTTTTTATGTGCATGCTTGCAGCTGTTTAGAACCAAAATATATTATAAAACATGTAAACATTAAATCGAGAAAAATCCCCCAAAAGCTTTGTTCTCCTGTGACTGAATTTGTTTTTATACAGTCTAATGCCATTTCCATAGCTTATATAATGCAGTGCAAAGAGATTTGGTGTGCAGCTCCATAGATGTTTAAAAAACGAAGTTACAACTATAGAAATATGTATAAATATTTTTTTTTTTAAATTGCAGAACTGTAGCATCAAACACGAAGTAGTTCAGCAGGATCTGGTGTGAAAATGAATAGTGGATGATATCTAGACAACAGCGTCACAGACTGCAAACATATTTTTTCTAAGATATTATTTTTAGGTTTACATAAACTATGAATAACTGGAGACTGTTACCGTACATGAAAGTGGTGCCACTATTAAAACTAAGTGTCATAAAGTTGCTGTTGTGTCTTTAGGGGAAGCAGGCCAGCA